GTGTGGTTGTGGGTGTGAGTAGAATGGCAGTCGCGTAGAGTCGCACATTAAAGAGATTCCCGTGCAAAAAGCCCGTCCGGAGAACGATACAACAGTGGGCGGAACGGGCAAAGACGTAGAGTTGCCGAAGAGTGAGAGACTTGTAGAAAATGGCGGCGGCGGGTGAGCAAGCGATGCGACCAAGGTAGGCAGTGCCGGCAGCGTTGGGTCTCCGGGTATTAGTCCAGGTATCCGTAGCTAAGGTAGCCAAAGGATTTCTGCAAGGTCAAGTCGAGTGTTGGACAAGGCAAAAAGAAGTCGAGGTGGCTGGAAGTGGATATACCGAGTGGGAGTCGCGCGTCGGTGGTGGCTCTATTATCGTGCCCTTGCTCGATTGCCGTTGCAGTTTTGCTGGGACCGACTGGGGCCTTGTTTATGCTGATTGCTGCCCTTGCGAAAACGAGAGAAGGACCAGAAAATGTGTTTGGACAACACAAAGGTAAACGTGAGGAAACGAGCGAGTGTGCAAGGCGGTACGAGACAGGTCGCGCGTGCAGTGTTGCTGTGGAAAAGAGGGCAGCAGAGAAGGAGAAGGAGGAGCTTCAGCGTTGACTCCTTTCGCACGGGCGTGTCGTGTGTAAATGTCTTGTGCCGGGGGGTTGAGAGGTCAGGTATTTGAGTGGTGAAACTTGGGATGCCAAGGAAAGGAGACGAATCTCGAGTTTGAGAGGCAAGTGATGGCAGCAAGGGGATGAAGAGCGCTGTGTAACGGATGGGGGGTCGGGTAGAGCGGTATGGTGTTTAATAAATAATTGGAATGTCAAGATGCGGTGAGGATCGGTCGGTTGACTTCGTGATAAGGTAATGTGTTACCTATGTATCCGTAGCGCCGTGCCAAATACCTCAAAAGAGTGACAGAGTCAAGCCGCAAGCCTGATGCAGTGTGGTGGAATTGACGACAGGTCAAGTGCCGGGTATTCACTTGGAGGGGGGCGAGATGTGATGGAAGAGCCAAGGCGTGGGGAAAGAACCTGAAGTTTCGATACGACTCAAAACGGGAGAGTTGAAGGGTGAAAGAGGAGAGGACGTGACGGGATGTACGGGAGAGTGAGTGACAATGACGATGCCGAAAGAGCTCCAATGGCGGTGACGAGTGACGGGACAGCTGCGGACACATTGGACGAGTCGAAAAAAAAAGTCTGGAATTAAAAGTCTCGGCCCCAACCCAAGCTTGGTGGTGATTATAATTACAGTGGTGCTCGTCAGAGTTAAGCTTTGAGGGGAGGGGCGCTGATCGGCACAGCGATGTCGCAGGCAAAAAAGCAGCAGGCACGCCGCGCGCCGCCGCACGGCAGGTTCGAATCCAATTGCCCCCAGTCAGCACCAACGGTTCCTGGCAGACCTGTGTCGCTGGGCGATTTGCATCAAGCTTGAGAGAGATCAGAGGCGCCATCTGAAGGTGGACGAATGGGCGCAGAGAAGACAAACTTAGTTTGTGGGGTCCCTTTCTCTTTAATGCATTGCAGTGGCATTGGACCATTGGTACCAGGTTGGCATTGTTGATGAGATGATATTAAGCCTTTAGGGAGGTGCCTCTTGTCCCAGGGGCAGAAACGGGTACTTTGAATACAGATGGTGCAAAGTATATTGTGTTATATTTACTGCGTTTCTCTTGCTGTTTTGATGATCATGTACAAAATACCTGGGGTAGTCAAAGCCCAATTCAGGTACACCCCAGTGGGATCATCAAAACAAGAACAACTGAGCAAGACCCCACGGGCAGAACAGGAAGAAGCGCAGCGAGTTGCAGGTGCGCATTGCTATGGGCCACCTCTCCTAAAGTGCCTCATGGGGCCTGGTGAGGGGTTCTGTGGAGAGGACTCCAAGTCACCTCACCGGCTCCCATATGAGTGGTTGACGGTGTCTGAATTCAAAGAAACAAGAGCAGCCTTTTTGGAGGTGACAGGCTTGGGAGACAGGGAAGAGGTGGTCGGGAATCGAGGGGATTAAAGGGAAATGGTCATTGGCACATCTGAGCGCTTGAGCGTACCTGCTGCAAGAATACTTACACAAGGTACATGCATGTGCCTGACTCCCCGTCTCTTGATCCAATCTGTAAGCCTTCTTCTGCCTGTCGGCTAAAAGCATCAGGAGCACGGCATCTCGCCCTGTTTGGGCTCCAGAACAGTCAGATGTATTGTACTTGACTCCTGGGTGCAGACACTGCAGAGCCTCAGGAGGGTCCAGTAGAAAGTACGAATCTCATCATCAGCATTGGCTAACTAGTAATAACCCAGGGTAGTGGCGGGCCAAGAAGTGGGTGAAGCACTGAGCGACCAGCACCGCCCCGTTTCACCCCTGAAGCTGTTTGATCGAGTGGTTGGGATGCAACTCCAACTCTCTCAGTCCCCGCCTGCCAGCCATTTGCCAGACAGCAGCAGTGAACTACCTAGACGATGAAAAAGTCAGGAACGCTATTTACTCCGTATGAATCATTGGATAATAAGGTACCTACTCCGTGGACCGTAGGCGGTAGAAAAAGGGGTAGGTCGCGACCGCCGTCTCACCACAAACGCTTCTGCGGCCCTACCTGGACATTCTGGATCGCTCGGCTGCATTGGCCATTCACTGTTTCCCATGTGGGTCGCTTTCCTGTTCCAAATAGAAGAATCTCGTCCCATCTCAATACCCAGCTCCCTGACTCCCTCGTGCCATGTGTGATGCAAGACCAAAGTCCCGAACTGTTGCGTTTTGCTTTCCCCAGCACCTTGGTTTCTGACGGTCCGAACATGTTGCCCAAGTCTCCATTTCTTTCAGTTCCTGAGTTTTTGCGTAAGACTTTATTCTGACGCTGATTTCCGTACTTCGTGTGGTGCTCCGTATATCACAAGCAAATCACTTCGATAGGCAGGGCGCTTACTGGACGCGAATAGAAGCCTACCTTACCTTTCTTAGCTGAATATGGATATGAGAACAGAAATTACACTACGCCCAATACCTTCTCCAAATCTAACAAAATTCGAAGCGCGTTAGTTCTTAGGCGCCCAGACTTGGCCTCAATCTCGTCGACCGGGCGCGCTTAGGTGTCATACGTCCGTGGTCTAACTACATTCTACCTCACGTCTATTTACAAGCCCATGCACAACATGCGGTCCGTCACTTTTCAGTTCATCCGAGCAATTTACAGACACGCTCATATCCACTGCGCATCAACGTCATGTTCCAGCTTCAATAGTTGCCGCCCTTTCAACTCGCGCAAAGCAGTCCCGGTCCCCTGCCAAGACCCCATGCTGTGTGAGCGCGACTCCGAGACGGATCACCCTGGTATCCCGCCATCCCACGTCCCATCCGCTCGGTAAAGAGCTGTCAGAGCTATTCGCGGTTGTTCTTTTCAAGTCGGATTTGTTCCGGAGCATACCTCCTCCATATTCAGAGCTCTCCAGAGCCGCTCAAAAAATACATCGAGAAGAGCGGTGAAGTGCTCAGATAAGCATCCTCGCCCACGGCTCGTCGAACCGCTCTGCCGTGGAGCTCAACCCCCAGTCATATCAGGATCTGGCATATGTTAGTGTCAAAGCCCGGTGCGGCCCGGCGGTTGGCCGCTTGTTCTCTTTTTTGCTGTCGTGGCTGAAGTTGAATTGGAACTATCCAACCACCCAATTTCCTGTGGGTCATCCGTTTCTTCCGACTGAGACTAGGTATAATATTTCAACCCGTCTCAAGCCAAGTCGAAAACCACCAATGGGCTCTGGTGCGACTGTAATTTTGAACTGCAAAGGTCAAGGGCCGATTGACACGAGACTGGGGTTCGGAGTTGCATGTGTCGTTTGATCTACTAACACTGCCAAGGGGAACTGCGGCTGTTCCACTTCCTCACGCTGCCCATCATCAATCTCCTCTTTCTGCCTCTAGATTGCATAGAAGTCATGTTTAGCTTGAAGAAGGGCTAGTTTCGACAACCTCTCGGACGGTGGCACAGTGGTCAGCAACGCCATGGCCTCCGTTCACATCCAGTGAGGAATAGAACATCCTAGCCGTTGGGAACAATCTAGAGCTCGCAGGACCTGCCATGGTCGTAAGCATGCCGAGGTATTTGGCAGTATATGTCGTTCTTTGATCTGGCAGGCATTGTCTTTCACCGAGTCCGAACAGTGAGTGTAAGTGGTTGATCATGTCACACGTCTCCCAGAAAAGCTCATCTCCGGTTGCATGCGACGCCCTTGCAGGCCAATGCTTGTGATCTATACAAGTTATTTGAAACCTCGACCTCGATCTCTGTGTGACGAGACTAAGGTCGTTCTTTGTAACACTCGATTGGGAAAGAAATCGTCTGACGCGAAGGCCTAAATTCTCATTGACACTAGGATGATTGACTCGATGGGCGAGCAAGCCAAGCTGAGGGTTTACTTTGGATTATTATATGATCGGATTGCTTTGTCCGCGATTGTCGCAGGCTGGTTTCCTCATTACAACAACTTGAGTTTCGTTGTACATGGCTATTCGATGTGGAAGATGCGTAGTCCCAGTACTCGGCATACGCAGGAACACTTTGCTATACTACGGGCGAATGATTCTTAGTGACGGCCAGCACAGCAAGCTAGCAAGTCGGTGACTTGTTTTTGCATCTTCATTGGACGATGTGTTTCGAGGGATTCGGGCTTCGCGATGCGATGCGATGGAAAAGATTAAAACATCACGCCGAGTGAGTCATCAGCCTTCTAGCTGCGGACTGCAGCTGCCCTGTCATTCAACCCATCCTGGGGAAGCGACGCTCCGATCGATTTATTGGAAGATAACGAAGGGAAAAAGCATCCCAGCCGAAGTTTGAATAAAGTCCGTCTTTTCCTTCTTTTATACTCGAAAGTATTCCAATGATTTCTTGAATTACTTCGTATGTGACACGAACTTCACATCCCCTCATTCTCCAAATTGGTACAGATATCGCAAACTATCCCCGCTTTCCCTTCAACAGGTGACGAAACTACTCTTCCCGAGCTTCGTCCACAAGTTCAGCAATAAAGATGACAGACGAAAGCATATCGGATCGTGTGCTTCGTGAGGTGAAGGCGGAGTTGGCCGGTACGCCATACTCCTTCGAGTCTGCCCGCCTCCTCAGTGGGGGAACGACAAACTTCATATTTCATGTGAAGCTGCTGCAGCCGCTGCTCGATGGGAATGCCGAAGTAGCTGTAAAGCATGGTGAGGGCTTCGTCGCCCAGAGTCCCGATTTCAAACTCCCCACGTCAAGATGCGTGAGTCTCTAGTCTTTGGACCAGCAGGAAATCAATGGTTGACATGAAGCAGCGGATCGAAGAGAGTTGTTTGAAAGATCTCTCAGAACTCCCACTCTACACTAGTGAAAACATCACCGTAGCAACACCGAAGCTATTCTACTTCAATGAAGAGACCAATACCCAGGTTCAAGCGTACCAGCCAAGCCCACTTAGCCTCAAGAACTATGCACTTCAGTATTTCGCAGCATCAACCCCGCAGATATCGACTCTGGAATCAGTCAAGTCACAATCCCTCGACGTTGGTAGGGCGGTGGGTACGTGGCTTCGGTCATTTCATGACTGGAGCAACTCGGGAAAACAGCTCAAGTTTCGCGATATCGCAGCAGGAAACAAGGAAATGCAAACGCTGAAGCGATGGATGAACTATGAACGACTCCCCAATTCCATCACAAGATTCCCGGATATCCTGGGTGATTGTAGCGATATCTTTGCAGACGTCGTGAACAGTGTGAAGAAGGAGATGATAGATGAGAAAGCCCTGCATGTCATCCACGGCGACTTTTGGACCGGGAAGTAAGTCGTCCCAAACACCTTCATTCCGACCATGCTACTCACGATTTTTTAGCATTCTTCTAGAGGAAAAACCTTTGGATGATGAGCATAGCCGCCTTCTTGTCGTCGATTGGGAAATGTGCCAACTTGCGGTCAAACCTCTCGACCTAGGCCAGATGATTGCGGAACTATACGAACTGAAAATATACAAAGATATGGAAGCCGGGATATGGTTAATTCAAGGCTTTATCGACGGCTATGGCGCAGTGGATGACGACTTTGCCTTCCGAACACTACTTCATGTTGCCGTCCATCTCATCGGGTTTGGCACAACAGTGCAGGGCTGGGGCACGCAAGACCAAGCGAAGTCAGTGGCATCTGAGGGAAGAGACATTTTGAAGAATGCTTGGGCGAAGGACCGTGGATTCTTTGAGAAGCATCCCCTGGGCTGCATCTTTTCATGAGCCCGAGTTGAGTTCAACTGGAAGCTCGTTGGGACGGGACAAGTTACTTAGTTCTATACGACTAAATCTCATATCAGTTGACGCCAGCTTTGTTATTCGGGCCAGAAGACGTGTGGTATAACATCTCGAAGCTATTAGATCATCGGTTTTTTCCCTAAGTTTTCCTTACAGGAGGTTGAACACCATCTTCATTGGCGGGAAAGGATGTGCACGAAGAGATGACAACGACGCTGGTTGCCCGAAATATGATGAAACCGGAAATGTCTTAATTTAATGAATGCACAATTTCGATGTAAAAAGTTCCATCATGTTTGCCTCGTTTGTTGACTTCAATAGATGTTGAGTAATTTTCGCGGGGGTGATGGAGAAAGACGAGTTCAGCCAGAAAAATTCAAACTACACACACCAAAGAAAGTGTGAGTCTGAGTCAACTTTGGTGGCGGAACCTTTCTCTCACTTTTCATCATCGACAACTAACTCCTGCACCAACGCCGCTGGACGTTTAGTAGGCCACAATATATTTTTCAATACTCACATTCGAGCAAGGCTTGAGTCGACTGTTTTGACACTCAATAACCGCATCTGAGCCCAGCCCTAGCAGTTCGACGTTACTCCTTGCGGCCCGACCCGCCATCATGAGCAGCAACACGGAACCACGCCCATGCAGGCGATGCAAGACACCGACCGTCTTGAAAGTGAGAAAGGATCCTCTTTGCGAGTAAGTATTCTCAAACCCATATGTCCCATGTCCAGGTTCAAGAGGGAATTAACCAACACACACGCACGCAGGACTTGCTATGAGCAGCACATCGTACAAAGAGTCGTGAAGCGCCTCGCCCAGCCATACCGCGATGTAAAGGACAAGCTCGGCACCACCCCCGACGCAAGAGCAAAGTACCTCCTCGGCCTCTCCCTCGGCCCCTCGTCGGCTTCCCTGGTCCAGGTGCTCGACAAGAACCTCCAGGGCCTCAAGGAGAAGAACCTGCGCGTCGCGTACGAGGTGCACGTCGTCCACATCGACACCGACTTGTCAAACGCCGCAGAAGCGACCCCCTCGTCGTCGGCAAGCCTGCTCTTTGAAAAGTACAAAGAGCAGTTCCCCAACCTCTCGATGCAAATCGTCCCACTGGCCGACGCCCTCAAGCTGGACACGATAGACTGGTCCGTTCTCCCCACCCTACAGCCCGGCCTCGCACCCGCGCAGCAGCTCAGCGGCCTCCTCGAGGCCCTGCCATCCGTCACGTCGCGGGTGGATATCTTGAGGCTCCTGGTGCGGAATCTGCTGCTGTCGCTGGCCGTGGAGAGGGAGTGCCACGCGCTGCTGCTGGGATGCACCACGACTGCCCTGGCCGAGCTGACGCTCGCCGAGACGGCCAAGGGCCGCGGATTCGCCGTACCATGGCAGGTCGCCGACGGCCCTGTTCCCGTCATGACGTTTTCTCGTGCGGGGGAGGAGCAGAGCGCGGAGGGCGGCGAGGAGGCTGTCCGAGGGACGGAGAAAACGATGCTTCCAGTGTACTACCTCCTTCGAGACGTTTTCAGGCGGGAGGTCATCACGTACGCGGGCCTGATACCGTCTTTGAAGGACCTCGCCCTGGAAGTGGGACCAAGTAGCAACGCTGTTGTCTCGCACAAGGAGCTCAGTATCGAGGACGTCATGGCGCGGTATTTTGAGGAGGTGGAGGAGAGCTATCCGTCCGTCGTCGCCAACGTCGTTCGCACTAGCGGCAAGTTGACACGAGAGAGCGACGGCGATGCGTGCGCGGTCTGCGGCATGGACGTAGATGCACAGGGAGATGCCCGGTGGAAGGGCGAAATTGGAGAGGACATTGACGACAGTAGGAAGCGCACTGCAGGGAAACTGTGTTATGGATGTGAACGGTCTATATATGGATAGATTGAACACAAGTTGCGCGTTCAAAGCACCTCCCCCGGCCGGCCAGTCTGGCGTGACCTCTGACCTGTATTCTGCCTCACTACATTCCTAGCCAACCCCCCATATGTTCTCTAGAAGCCGGTCCCCGGCTCGTGACATTTCCACCCCGTCTACCCAGCTCATTTTTAACTCCATATATGCAAGGAACGCTGATTTAATAGGTACAAGATCAATGATTGATCATGGGGTCTGGATGGTAGCCGAAGGCAGGATGCGGTCTTCGAGCTTTCTCATCAGCTTGTTTGTCTGTTCCGCCAGGGTCAGGGTAAGGATGGTGTGGGGGAGGATTCTAGCCAAGTGAGGCAGGAAACCCTTGTAAATAGCCAAGAAGCCTTCAGTGCGGACAGTCTTGGCCAGGCAATCGAAGACACCCTTGTAGAGGTTTCCGTTTTGGTTGTACAGGCGAGACATGATGGTGTCTGCCAGGAGGATTAGTACGCGAAGATACTTAGGGAATCTTGAGTTGAGACTTACCAGGAGGGTGCATCACGCAGCAAACGACGAAACCACTGACGGTGCTGCTAGCAAGATGCAGAGGCAGACCCTCTTCCATACCCAAATGGCGGACCAGTCTCCGCTTGGCGAAGAAGTAGGTGGGAAGCTGCACGGAGCTACCGAAACCCGTCCTGATCATGGCCGCACCAACACCTCGGTAGAGTCCCCGAATGCCTTCGGCGCCGTAGATTGAGGTCATACCATTCCAAGCATTGCGGTACTTGTGTTGTGTGCCGGTGGGCATGAAGGGAGAGTAGCTCTGTAACCGTGTCTTGACGAGGAAGAAAGGGCTGCCGGCGGCGGCACCCATAATTCCTGATCCAGCACCGCAAGCCATGTTGATGCCCAGGCTCTGCGTCTTGCCGTCCTTGAAGATGAGAGTCGACAGGGTTTCGCGCATAGGCTCGTAGAATCCAAGACGACATCCGTTCAGCAGGACCTGGTAGATGTACGCGCAGCCGATACCTCGGTAGATTCCCTTAACACCCTCATTGCGCACGATAACAGAGACACCCTGCAGAGGGCCTCTGTACTGATGCGGCTGGTGTCCCTTGTCCTTCAATTCTCCTTGCAACTGCATTCTGCACACGTCGGGGAAGGGGTCAGCGCGTTGCCGGCGGCAGGGAGCGGGAAAGGAGCGAGCGTCGTCGCTATCAGACGCACCGGATCTTGACAGTCTCGAAAGGATGCGTGGCCGTTACAGCGCCGCAGGCGGCAATGCCGCCAGCGATGAAGGCGCTGTTGCGAAGGTTAGCTTCGCTGGTCTTGCGGATGCTGGACTGCGGGCCATGACTTGCCCAAGGGTTGTTGACATTGTGTCAATTGGTCTTGTCGCAGAGATAAGAATGAAATGGGTATCGGTGATGTGTAAGATACTGGTAATTTGTGGTCGCGACTCCTGTGATAATCGGGTTTCGTTTGGAAGGAGAGAGAGAGAAAAGAGTGACACCGCGATCTCGGAATGCTAGTACCTAAAATGACGGAACAGCGCGGGTCAGCAAGATTGACGTCGTGGCAAGCCGGTAGCCAGTCAACATCGACAAATGCAAATGTCTGGGCAGATTCTTACATAGTCTAACTCCTCGAGAACCCGTTCGCCGTAATGCGCGCAACTCAAGAAAGGAAGTTGGCGATGTGACTGCGATATAGATTGAGTTCCGTCGGGCTGGCACTGGGTTGACGTGACTGGATTGACTCTTGTACCGGGGCTACAGGTCTACAGGATTCTCAGTAAGCTCCGCGCGCGGAAGAGAAATTGGGATTTTTCTTGCTCAAAGTCAATATGGCCGTGGATAGCCATTGCCGATCCCGGCGTCTGTAGGACTCAATTGGCAGGGTTCGCGGGCCACAGCGGCCTAAGTCGGTATTCGGTACCCCAGATCCTGACCAAAAAGGGGGGCGTCAATCTAGCTGGCCCATTGCTGGGACGTCAGTTTCCAATGCGAAGTCGCGCATTGTCAACGATGGGAGGCTGGCCATTACAACGTGTGGCTGAGAGTCTTTCTGCAATACGCCAGGGGTGGTGTAAGAATTGTGGCACAGTCAGCTCTCCCATCACCACAACCCCGCGAAACTGAATTGGGGAAGCTCTTTGGTTTCCTACAGTCGCATCGCATGACAAAACGCGGTCTGAAATCCCATCCACAGAAAACATACCTGCAACCTAAGGACGACTGCACTTATTCACTTTCACTTTGAAGGAACTTGCCGCATTTTACCGCACAACCTCAAGTTTGCTCCCGCGACGAGTAGATCGTTTGCCTACGGCTCGCGACAGCATTAATTGAGGCGTCGCTGTTCGACCCAGCCAGTATAGCTCTCGGGATCCTGAAAGAACCCATCATGGCTTCGACGCCTATGGACTTGGATCATCGCGAGTCGACCCCAGCCAACGGAAACTCGCTCAACATCACGCGGTCTCTGGCAACCAACAATACCACCCCGTTGAGCGAAGTCATATCATCATTTCGCCCAACAAAGGCAAGGAGTGCCCAAAAACCGTATAGAGAGCTCTTTGACTGATTGTTTCTCAGCTTTTCAAAAGGCAAGACATCAAGGATGGCCGTCCGCAACCACACGTGCTGTCACTCGACTTCGACGACCCGGGCGAGCTTCTCATGACCTCAGAGAGCGACGAGACGATTCAGATTTACAGCGTTAAGGAAGGCATGCACAAGAAGAACTTGCTAAGCAAGAAGTACGGCGTTAAGCTGGCGAAGTTCACGCATACGAGTTCCAGCATCATCTACGCGAGTACGAAGCAAAACGGTAGGCTCTCTTACGCTCAAACTGCCGCACAATGGCTAATGCCTATCAGATCAGATCCGATATTTGGCTACCCACGATAATTCCTTCATCCGATACTTCGAGGGCCATGAAAAGAGCGTCACAGATATTGCCATACACCCAGGCGCTGATAACTTCATCTCGTGTAGCCAAGACAATACTGTGCGCCTTTGGAATATTTCGACGAAGCAATGGTGCGGCCAACTGAACCTCAACTCTCCGTATCTCACCGCATACGATCCGTCGGGGCAGACCTTTGCTGTCGCGTGTACGAACAGCGGAAGCGTTTTGCTATATGACTGCCGCAACTACGACAAGGCGCCATTTGCGACCTTTGATGTCGTCGACGCCGGCAGACACGTGGACTCACAATTCGTAGTCAGGGGTTGGACAAAGCTAGAATTCTCGAACGACGGCAAGCATATACTCGTCGGCACTCGCGGGCCCGGCCACTTCATACTCGATGCTTTCGATGGGAGCTTGAAGGCGTACCTGCGTAAGCCCGAGGGCGGAACCCGGCGGCTGGCGGCTGGTGAGACATCAAGCACCATCAATGGCAGTATGCCGAAGACAGACCAGCCTACAATCGAGAGCAGCGGTGATTGCTGCTTCTCTGTGGACGGCCGTTACGTTCTGAGCGGTGGTCCGAAGGATGTCCTGGTCTGGGATATCTTGACACCGTCTCAGAACGAGAACAAGACCCTCGATGCTACCTGGGTATTGGAGGAAAAGCGAGAGGCGGCGGTCTTGGCATTCAACCCGCGGTACAACTTCTTTGCGACGGCAGATCAAGATGTGATGTTCTGGGTACCCGATCCTCATGCATGAAGCGGTTACAACACCAATGTAGGAATTTTAGAAGCTGCGAAATGGCGGTCTGGAGAGGTCAATTACTTTCGGAGTCTAGGATACGAGATACCCAACCCGTTGAAAAAAGTCGACTTGAATGAAATTTGTTGAAACCTTGAGAACTTTCTGGTACTAAGCTTGTCTGGAAAATATGCATATCAGAATTGTGAAGTATTTGAGCTTGGGGTAATAGTCCCAAGTGTGCGGCTTAAACTTGCCCCTCGCCAGGCATGCAAGGTCGGGGTACCTCAACTCAGGCCGAACCCCACCAAAATTGCATCCTCCACCAAAGCCAGACCACCTCCACGACATCGAACGTCACTCCGACCACCACGGCGCGCATGACACCCTAGCGAACACTCGTCGAACCAACCTACCCAAGGACCAAGATTGCCATTGCTCAGGCGCTCATTTATCGACGACACCTCCCACGTGCGCGCATACAGCCCGGACCGCGCAAGGCCGTGGCCTTTTCTCTTCTCCCCACCCCCATCATCACCATCCTCACATCGCAATGCCGACCTACAAGACCAGCCAGGAATGGTTGGAGCAGTCGTCTCTGCTCCTCCAGGCCCGTCCGACAACCGTAAGTTGAACCCTCCTACCAACAGCTCATCTGTTCACTTTGGACGAGGGAACACGTAGCGGCGGCTAACCACCAGCGCCCCCCAAGCAGACGAGAATCACAACAAAGTACTCCATCAAAGCAGTCAAACCCCGAAAGACCAAGACCTCGGAGGGCACCTCCGCCGCCCCTACAGAAGACGCAACAATGACAGACGCCAAACCCCCGCGCGGCTCCCTCGTCATCAAGACCTTCGACCCGGTCAGCGGCGTCGCCCTCAAATACCGCACCACAAAGGCCGCCGAGGTCTCCCGCCTCGTCACCTGCCTCGGCGCCCTGGGCCGCACAATGTCCACCTCGAAACCGGCAACGTTGGACGCCGCCGTTGCGACCAAGGACGAGCCGATGGCTGACGCAGGCGGGGAGGATACGCCTGCGGGCGGGGCGGCGACGCCTGTGGAGAAATCTCAGGCTGCTGGAGGTGGAGGTGCTGGTGGAAAGAAGAAGAAGAAGGGCAAGAAATGAGGGCCTAGGTTATGTCACTCATGTTGTCATTCAGGAGTGGGAGACGACGCGATGCTGCCCGTGGGTAGAAGACGATGTTGAGGCTGACATGTTGGGCGAGTTGCGGTCAGCAGACATATCATGGAGAAAGCATCACTAGTCGAAAAGGTGTCAAAGAGCCTTGCAAAGGCTTTACTCGCATACATCAAGTCGTCTTTAGACGAAACATAGGGAAAATCTTAACACCAAGCACTCAAGCTTGGGAGAAGCCACCGGTGGAAGACAATGCAGATCGCATCACGAAAGAGAAACATTTGGTTGTTATGTCATGTGCGATTACTAAAAAAGAGGATCACTGCGGTACATTATCCATCAAAGACATTCATGCCCCATTTTCCACAGTCATCCAACCAGTCCTTGGGAACCTCCAACTCCCTGTAAAATGATCCCCGCCAACGCCATGTATGTACGAAAAGGAAAAACAGCTCTAAACCTCAGATCGGGTGAGGGGAGGGTGTTTTGAGTGTGGAGTGTGAAAAGACGCTCTGGCAAACACCATGCGTGTGCAATGTGCAAGGGTATATGGGGAAAAGGAAACAACAGAAACTTCAGACGCTCGAAGATGATTTAGAAGTCCTCATCGAAAGCGAAGTCTCCGCCGTTCTCTCCCTCAACCTTGGTCTCTTCTTGCGCCTTCTTGGTGCTGTTGAGCACACCGGCCTTTTGGTAATCGGCGACACGCTTCTCAAAGAAGTTGGTCTTGCCACCAAGGGAGATGTTCTCCATGAAGTCGAAGGGGTTGGAAGACTTGTAGACCTTGTCGTTGCCAAGAGCGACCAGAAGGCGGTCAGCAACGAACTCGATGTACTGCTTCATCAAGTTGGAGTTCATGCCGAGAAGAGCGCAGGGCAGAGCCTCAGTCAGGAACTCTTGCTCAATCTTGACGGCATCAACAATGATGTCCTCAATGACTTGCTTGTTGGGGCGGTGCTTGAGGTGAGAGTACAAGAGGCAGGCAAAGTCGGTGTGCAGGCCCTCATCACGGGAGATGAGCTCGTTGGAGAAGGTCAGACCGGGCATGAGACCACGCTTCTTGAGCCAGAAGATGGAGGCAAAAGCACCGCTGAAGAAGATACCCTCAACGGCGGCGAAGGCAACCAGACGCTGGGCGAAAGAGGAGTTCTCATCGCTGATCCACTTCAGGGCCCAGTCAGCCTTCTTGCGAATGGCAGGGACTGTGATGCTAGTTAGCCATGCGGTCATGTAGGTGCGGGTTGTGATAACGTACTGGTATCAATGGCGTTGAAGAGGTAGGTGCGCTGCGCAGGTTCCTTGATGTAGGTATCGATGAGGAGGGAGTAGGTCTCAGAGTGGATGTTCTCCATCATGATCTGGAAGCCGTAGAAGCAGCGAGCCTCGGGGACCTGGACCTCGCCGGAGAAGCGCTCAACGAGGTTCTCGTTGACGATACCATCCGACGCGGCGAAGAAGGCAAGAATGTGAGAGATGAAGTACTTCTCATCATCGTTGATCTTGTTGTTCCAGTCGTGGAGATCCTTGGAGAGATCAATCTCCTCGGCGGTCCAGAAGGAAGCCTCGGCCTTCTTGTACATTTGCCAGATCTGGAAGTCGCGAGTTAGTCATGGTTCAAAGAGCAAACCACTTTACGCGTCTTGCGACGCGTTCACATACCTCATGGTACTTAATGGGGAAGAGGACGAAGCGCTGGCCGTTCTCCTGGAGAAGAGGCTCATCCTTCTCCTGCTCCTTGATGCCGGGAGCGACAACAATCTTGTTCTCGTTCTTAACGACTTCTTGTGTGGGCTTTGTCTGAACATCGGTCTTCTCGGTTGCGGTGGCAACGTCGGATGTGAGGGGCTGGTTCTCCTTGTCGGCGGGGTTGAAGTTGAGCTTCTTGACGGGAGACTCCATCTTGAAAGAGTCGAGGGCAGCAGCGGCCTGGACAAGTGGTTGTTAGCGATTGCGACTGTAAAAAGCGCGTGGACCAGAGTCAAGCGATGCTGGACTGAATGGTGACGTCTACTTACCTGCTTGGAAGGAGTGACTTCGATAGACATGGCGGAAGTGTGTGAAAATCGGCGGGAGAGGAAGAATGAAGGCGATTGAATGGAACAAGGGGAAGACAAGACTTTGGAAGAAGAGATTGAGGTCGTAAGTCTGTCTTGGGTTGTGGTGTTGTCGTGATTGGGGGTGAAGAAGATGTCTGTTGATGGTAGAGGAACTCTGGAAAGGCAGAGTTTATGTAGCGGGCAAGCAGCACCGAGCGCTAGGTAGTGGGACGCGTTGAGCACAGGGCAGGGATACTCGCGTTTTCGTGTTTTCTACGGAGCAAGTACTTGGGTACCTCGAGCTTCGTACCTTTTTCGCAGGTGGCTGCGGAAGCTGGTCTGATTGCCCAGAGCACTCAAAGCTGAATCCACGCGCCATCAATTCCCCTCCACCCCACTAAAAAGCGCGTCTTCCAAGGGGCATCGCCGGCGCGTTTCGTTCCAAAGTGGGAGGATCTTGTCTCGCTTCTCACCTTTCCACTTCCAGACCCTGCAAAGTGCCCAAGACCTGGCGCAGAAAAGTCTACCGACTGTGGTCCCAAACGGAATATGCCAGGCCCAGCCCTCTTTTTTTGGCCCTTTTTTCCCTCTTCAACATGCTCATCATTTGTAAGTTGGGTCGAGCTACGACGCCGAAGTGGCCGCTTGCGTTCCACCCCCGGCACGCCAACCAGGCAACACGATGTCATGGCCGGGAAACCAGAGCAAGCTCTGTCCGGAGACTCGAGAGCTTCGGCCGAGCCACACACGTTCCAGATATCCAATTCTCGCCTGCAAGCCCCGTCTCCCGGCCCTGCACACGCTTCTTTGAGCTGGATCCGTCCTCGGCGTTACGACTCGACGCGTTCCAAGCCCATCCTTCCCTTAGGTACTTCGATGTCAGGTATCAGATCAGATCTGATAAACTGAACACGTCCTAGCTCCAGCTCCGGTGGAACCCAAGTGGCCCATCCAAGACTCATCAGCCATGTAATCTCGTCTAAGCATCGACAAATCCTGACTGTATGACTCTCGGCTGCGGGTCGACGCGTTGGAAGCGGACTTGCGGAATTACCATCACCAGTCTGATCGCCAATTTGACCGTTGGCACGGACACCGATTTTCGGATTCCCATTCAGATCCAAACATTTCATGTGTCACGTACACGTCAACTCTTTGCATGGCCCTGATTTTCCAGTGAATCGTATTAAACTACTGACAGCTTAACTAAAGCAGCGGGGGTATGTAAAAGAAAAGGTATCGTGTCATGTTCATCTTCTTCGTCCAAGTCTTCATAAAACAAGTATCCAGAGCCAGGCAGACCAAGCGTCCGTCATCTTTTGACCAAGGGCTACACGCAAACACCAAGTGTGTTTTCCAGCCACCACGAATTCCGACGGGTCACCCCGTTTGTCGACATCGCCAACTCTGAAGTTCGACTCTTCTGCTTTTGAAAAGTATTTCTCGAGCAGCCGGTAGTTTAATGACGCGATTGACGAGCAGGTCTGTCTCTGGGATCGCGAGCCGCCTCAACGTCGTCATCGACCCTCGAGCGACCTCCAAAGCCGAACCAGCCTCGACCGCCGGAACGCTCCTCTCTGACTGCAGCGGCGGCTGGAGCAGTCGGGGTGCGCTCATGGCGGCCTGCTGACATGTGTCCATTGCGAGAGGGCTCACGGCTAACGTATTCGGGCGGAGTGCGGTCGCCTTGCAAGCGATCCCATTCATCTGCCTCACTCGGATCGACGGCTGGAATGGGAGCTCCGCTGCGTTTCAGATTCTTCTTTCCCTTCTCGCGAAGATGCTCCTCGAGAAGAATGGCGTTCTTGGTGTTGGCGCGGAAAGCAGCATCGGCGATGTCGCCCACGAAGGGCACCAGGCCAATGACGAAATCGATAATGATGTTGAACATCATCTGGGATTTGACTGAATTTGGGAGTCCGCCTTCGACCTTAGAGCAGGTTCTGAAAACCATCATGGCCATGAAAGCATCGAGAACATCACCAACACTGCAGCCAACATGACGTTAGTGGATGTCTTGTCGATAAGCCGAATGGGGACTGTGGGGGTGATGCAGCAGCAGGGGAGGAGGACAGGCACTTACGCAGGAACTAAGCCGATGACACTACCCCATCCAAATTTCACACCACAGCAGCTGAAAAGCGACTGATCGAGCCGGTAGGCTCTTCTTTTGACTTTGGTCAAAACCTCGCCATCTTGTTTGGAAAGGCCTGGTGGCAAGGCCTTTCTGCGCTTCTTGACCTTGCCGTTGGGGGTACCATCAAGCCTGGTGGCGGGGACGCTCTCAAAGTAAGGGTCCTGGTGATGAGGTCAGTACGATTTGTTCGTGGATCCACCGTATCGCGGGTGAGCGCAGGGCCCAGGTGTAAGAAGGTAACATACCTCGCGGCCAAATTTGTTTTCGACCTTCTCAGCCAGAATCTTCTTGCTGACCCACTTGGCGATGAGACTGGCCATGTTTGCAGTTGTATCGTTGACGAAGTGCCGGACCGGTAGGTTGTGAGTGACTGCCGGATTGCGAAGAACGGTGTTTCCCAGTCACTGGTAGTGATGAGTGGCGCACTGAGACAGAGACAAGCTCGTCGGGACCGTTATCGACAAAGGCTTTCGCAACGCGGTCCTGTGTGCTCTTGGCGTAGGTTGAAGTAAGAATACCTTAGCAAGCTGGTAGGCAGTCAGTCCTGAAGGTGAGGTTGTCAAAGGTCAAGAGATTCCAAGACGGCTTGCGGCAACTGAGCGAGAGGAACTGTCTTGGTGATATAAGTAGGTGTTGAGAGAAAAGCCGGGAAGCTGGCTGGCAGGGTCCGAGTTGCCAAGGTGTGGTAAGGTATGGGTTGTATGGGTGGTATGGTAGATCAAGTTGCCTCTTGTGCTCGCTGCACACTACGTAGGTTGGTTTGTAGCTAAGTTAGAAGAGGTTGGTCCCTTGGACGCTTGTTTTCCCCCGCGGGCGCCCAGAATTCCTGTTTTGACAAGTCAGGGGACCAGACTACCATCATGATGTAATTTTGTCGGTCACTGCACGCCAATGCACTTGCCTCAGTTCCGAGAGGCCTCTTCAGTGGGGTCTGAGCAGGCTAGACCGCAGTCGTTTCACATCATGCTGCAGCGGCCAGTTGGCTGGTCTCCAATGAGCGTGCGCCGCGACTGGTCTTCAATGGCCCTGAATTGCATGCAATGCAGCACACTTTCATGACTTGCCAGCAGACTCAGTACCTACCTTAGTGATACCCGTAACAAAACC